TTTATAATTTAACTGTTTCTTTCTTGTATTATATATTTAACTGTATATGATTTAACAGTTCATTCCTTGTTATATATCTAATTATCTTTATAAATAAATATATTAAATTATCAGCAATTTGGTTTTACCTCTCTAGAGAACCCTGTCTAACACACTTAGTAACCTGTTAGGACTCTCCGATAACACACATCTACAATCCAAAATATCTTCAGCATAACTGTATTCTGATGCCAGACTGCCTAAGTCTGGACAATGGTCCTCCCACTTACTGGGCATGTATACACAGCTTTAACCTGAGTGCCAGTTTCCTCATCTGTAGAATGAGGATAATTAAGAACAATGGCAAAAATTAATTTTAATTAAAAAATAAAAGAACAATGGCCTCAAGCTAGTCACAGTAAATCTATTCATTTGTGCTGGGTATGTGATGACTCAACAAATGCTATTATTTTATATCTCAATAGCTAAGCTTGCTTGGCAAAATTTAGAGACGTATGGCCACAAGTGCTTCGGAGAAGTTAGTGGTTTTCCATAAATCTTCTGGCCTGAACCATCTAAATAGGAACGCCTTAGCCACCAATATCCACAGCCTTCTACAATGTGATCCCAAAGTATGATTTCCAGTTTTACCTCCCACTAATCCTCTAAAAAGAATTTCTGGTGGCACTATAGGTTAATTGTGGCCGAGGGATGAGGCTGTCTGCTCAAATAAAGATTTACCACCTCAAACCAAACTCGCTGTCATCAAGCTAATGCTGATGCATAGTGACCCCTTGTGGGTTTCCGAGACTCTGTTTACAAGAATAGAATGCCCAGACTTCCTCCCATGGAATTGCTGGTGATTTCCAACTGCCCACCGAGTAACCACTACACAACCAGGGCTCCTATAGGGTAACTGAGGTCTCTAAATGAACCCTACTCTTCCCTCCAACTGCATTACACCTGCTCTCTGAACTCTCCCATCCTTATGCCTCTGGATCATCTTGGAAGAAAGTCCTACCTTCTTCCCCAACCACCCTAACAAAAACTGTCAACTCTCTTTTATACCTGCTATACTGATTCCGGGCCAATAAAGAAACATCACAATAAACAGGGGAAAATATTTCATTTTGAAATCTTTGGAGTACCCAACTTTTTTTGGATCCATAACCAGCACCTTTGGAAGCAACAGTCAGAAAATTTTCACTGGGCAAATCTGGTGCAAAAGACCTATTAAAAGTATTAAGGACCAAAGACTAAGGTGCACCTGACCAGTCATGGCATTTTCAACTACCGCCTATGAATGTGAAAGCTGGATAATGAATACAGAATTGATGTATCTCAATTATGGTGTTGGCAAAAAATATTAAAAATTCTAAAACTAGGCCTTGAGGACAATGATCCCAATTAGAGCAGCCAGTGCACAGAGAGGACCACATGGCCAGCCCCACTATGAGACATGACACCCCTCTCACTGACCCATGGCCCTGCGGGGGACAGCACCAGACAGTGTGGGAATTGTGCCCGATCTGATCCCGCCACACCAAGGCAAAGCACTGGGGGAGTGCAACGGAACAGCAAGGGAATGGAGCAGCAAGGTTCCCAGGGAATGCTGAAGGTGGACTTTGGGGTCAGAGCATAGTGCCCCAACAGACTGGACTGGTGGAAAACACTCCTAAAGGCCAACAAACAAGCCTTGAACTAACAAGCTTTTCTTTCTTGTTGTATTTTGTTTTGTTCTTTGTTAGTGGTTTGCTGTTCTTGTTGTGTTGTATATTGTTGCTTGGTTTTGCTCTGTCTTGTTTTTGTGCATGTTATTATCTCCGCAGGTCTATCTAAATAAGATAAGCTGGATGAACAACCTGGAGGAGAAAAGACCAGGACAGACAGTTCCGGAGGACATGGGATAGGGGGAGGTGGGAGGAAAGGAAGTGGTGTTAACAAACCCGGGGACAAGGGAACAAGTGATCCAAATTGATGATGAGGTAGGTGTGGGAGGCCTGGAAGGGCATGATCAACGGTAATGTAACAAAGAGGAATTGCTGAAATCCTGGTGGGGACTGAGCATGATAGTGGGACAGGAGGAAAGTCAAGGGAAATAGAGGAAAGAGCTGGGAGGCAAAGGGCATTTATAGAGGTCTAGATAAAGACATGTACATTTGCAAATATATTTATATATGAGCATGGGGAAATAGATCTATGGGTCTCAGGGAGGAGATGAGCAAGTCAGGGTGCGATGTGACAACGATGAGAAATACAACTTTCCTCTAGTTCCTAAATGTTTCCTCCCCGCTCCCACTACCATGACTCGAATTCGACCTTGCAAGTCTGGCTGGACCAGAGGATGTACACTGGTACAGATGGGAGCTGAAAATACAGAGAATCCAGGGCGGATGAGCCCTACAGGACCAGTGGTGTGAGTGGCGAAACAGGGAGGGTAAAGGGAGAATGGGTAGGAAAGAGGGAACCGATTACAAGGAGCTATATGTGACCTCCTCCCTGGGGGACAGACAACCGAAAGGTGGGTGAAGGGAGACGTCGGACAGGGCAAGATATGACAAAATACCAATTTATAAACTATCAGGGGCTCATAAGGGAGGTGGGAGCGGGGAGGGAGGGGAAAAATGAGGACCTAATGTCGGGGGTTTAGGTGGAGAGAAAATGTTTTGAGAATGATGTACGAATGCACTTTACATAATTGATGTGTGTATGGATTGCGATAACAGTTGTATGAGCCCCTAATAAAATGTTTAAAATATACATATATATATATTCTTTTCATATCTTACACTGTCCACTGTCTCCCTTCACCTACATTTCTTTGTCCCAGGTGGGGGGTGGTTATACATTGATCGTTGTAATCAGTTCTCCCTTTCTCCCCACTCCTCCCTTCCTGTTATCACTACTCCCATTACTGTTTCTGAGGGATTTATCTGTCCTGGATTCCATGTGTTGCGGTCTCTTATCTATACCAATGTACATGCTCCAGTCTACCCAGATATGTAAGGTAGAGCTGGGTCATAATAGTGGGGGGGAGCTTTCCAGAACTAGAGTAATGTTGTTGCACCCTGGCTGACTCGTTCCTTCCTTGTGACCCTTCTGCGAAGGGATGTCCAATTATCTACAGATGGGTTTTGGGTCTCCACTCTAACCCTGCTGTTTCACACTGATATGATTTTGGTTCTTCCAATGCCTGCTCCTGTGGATACCTCGCGATCACACAGGCTGGTGTTTCTTCTATATGGGATTTGTTGCTTTCCTGCTAGATGGCTGCTTGTTTAACGTCAAGCCTTTAAGACCGCAGATACTGTACCTTTTGATAGCCGGGCACCACCACATTTGCTTATGCACCCATTTTTCTTCAGTGATCAAGTTGAGAACGTTAGTATCACAGAGTGCCAGGTTATTAGAACAAAGTGTTCTTGTGTTTAGGGGGCATATTTATAACTTCTAAGGTATATATTAAATAGCCTATTAAAATATTAATTACAAAAACTTATGACACGCAATGACAAGCAATTTGCTTAAAAACAAAAAAGGGGTGGAGGAGGGAAAGACCAGTCATAAGTTTTACTGCTAAATACACAAAATTTTATTTTACATATTAGTTAGCTGCAACATTAACCTGTAAAATTAAAAAGCAGTGAACTTCAAAATAATACACTTTAACATTAATCAGTAAGACAAAGCTTTAAGAAACTTAAGACCATTACCAGTTCAAAATATTTATAGAACAAGATACTTTAAATGTTGTTATACAAATTTTATTTCATTAAATCAATGAAGCAAATACACCTCTGATACAGAAGCATAAACACGTTTAGGTTTCAAGTACTGTGTTCTAGTTCGTTGTAACATGCAAGAAAGAATCTAAATTAGAAAAGTCTTCTGAAAGAAAATGAAGGGGAAACAAAGTAACAGGGAATGTAAGCAGTTGAGTATGCGTTTGAAACATTAAATCGGTGTTTTAAACCCCTTCCTCTCAGGTAATGAGTTAAGATGCTTTCTGGGAGGGTGAGGATCCTGAAGTTTGGCAATATGGACATTGAGAGAGCGTGCTCTACCAGAAAAAGAGGAGGATGAGGAAGGAGCTGAGCATAACAACCACTTTGATCCAGCTTGTTGGGAATCCAGAGAGGGAAAGAAACACCTGAAGTGATGAAAACAAAAACAAAGCACAAAAACAACAGGAAAAATAAACAGAAAAGAGTAAATGCAAAGAGGAAGGGAAAACACAAGCAGAAAAGACAAAAGCAAAAAGGTTTTAGTATTGTTCATGCCAAAACTAACAGAACATAATAGTAAAAATCAAGACCCTTTTGCAAATCAAGATTTTTAAGTACAGAAACTTGGAAGAAATACAATCTTGTTAAATTTAATTTTTAAAAATTATTAGTATGCATTTTACAAATATATTTATTTTATTAACTTAAAACATTGTGTCAAAACTGTATTTGAAATTACCCTATAAACTTACAAATGTAGTAAGCTTTATTTTTCTCTTTAAGCTTTTTATATGTAGCAGCAGCAGGCACACATTCTCTTAGTGCATACATGATACTGAGAACCAATTAATATACAATATCACAATATGGTCAGCTATTGGAACAGTCTTTGAAGAAATAGAATTAAGGAACATAGTTGTTTTCCTATAATAACCACAAAATCAATACAGAATTTTGGTAAGTAAACATGCCAGAAATCATGATGTCATAAAACTCAAAACTCAAACTCACTGTCATGGGGACTTAAACATTTTTGTGGAAAAATTTCATTCTCTTTCGATTCCATTGTTCGACAAACTCTTTGAAGCCTTCTTGTTTTATTATACTGATGTCATTTTATCGTACTGGTAATACTTATGCATTTTAAGATAGAGATTTATAGTGTGATTAGCACAATCAATACTTATAAGATAAAAAAATAATTGAAACAGTCAACCAAATTAAGAAAGCTCTAGGGCATGGAATTAACTATGTGCATATACAATGTTCGGAAAATTTTAACTGCTTCTCAAATTATAGTATATTTCTAAATTTTCACTTTATGGAAGGATCAAGCCTTGAAATCACAACATAAAATATACAAAGACATATTAGAAATATTTCACTTCTTAGTGGTTACTATTTTTTAAGTGTACAAGTGTTTTTATTTTACTGCCAAATTATATATGAATACTAAATGCATAAAAATGGCTACAAGCCATAAAAATTACTTTCATTTTACTACTATTGCTTCTCACTTTTGCTAGTATTCTTAAATGTTACAAAGAAATAACAAAATTGTACTAAGTGTACAAACCAACTGTATAAAGTGTAAACAAATGAGTACTCCATATAATCTTTGATTATTAAATTTTCAAAGTGAAATTATAAAAATTTATCACTTAGTTAATTATGTTAGAAAACAAAAGATAAAACTTATATTCTCCAAATTGAATGAAGTGATATGTTTACTATTCCCAATTACTGTAATGATATTAACAATCCTTTTAATTTTTACACCAATTAGTTCCATGCCCTGTCTTACTGACATTTTCTTAACAAAAACCCTCTATATTTGTATTACAAAAGTTTCAAATAGTGTCAATATACTGTCTCGTACAGAAAAGGAATATACATTTATTTTTTTGATAGAGCTTTTAATTGCAGTTAGTAATAGGGAGGCTGCTGGTGTATCTGGGAGAGGGCAAATTTCGCTGGTAAGTGAAAAGGAGTTCGATTTCCATTCCTGTATGCATGTAAGAAGCAGCAAAACAGCAAAGTTACTCCGATTAACTTGTACTCAGCTGTGCTTTCTGTTAAAGGGCATAATATAAATGGAGAAGGGAAAATGCATCACAGATCTAATAACATGGTTATTGGCACAAGAATACAGATAAAAATTCGAAGTTAAAAAAATACATATGGGCATGAGGTAGAGGTAGAAATAAAATACCTGCTTTTAAAAAATAACACTAATATTCTCTTACTTCATGGAAAGTCAGCTTTATAATCTATTATTTCTATCATTCACTGTCATCAAATCATATCGACCCTATAGGAGACAGGGTAGAACTGCCTCTGAGTTTCCAAGAGTGCAACTGTTTACTGAAGTTGAAAGCCCCATCTTTCTCCCTCAGAGTGGCCGGTGGTTTCCAACTGTGGACGCTGCAGTTAATCGCCCAATGTGTAACCACTATGTCACCAGGGCATCTTGGTATCTCTAAAGTAACCCAAAATTGTTTTGATGAAAATATGTGAAATCTCAAATAAACAATGACTTCACTTTAAATCTTTAACAATATAAACATAGTTGATGAAACTTTAAACCCAATTCTCTTCTTAAGATAACAAGAAGCTAACTACAGAATGAATTCAGGCAGTGTTTAGCAGTCTTCTGAATTTTATTCCAAAATTTTCATGAAGATGATTTAAAATTAAAGCATTACATATTTATAGATTTCATATTTGAAATCAAAACTATGGCTTAGGCCACATCAATTATTGTTTACTAAAATGAACAACAATCTAAACTTAAATATTCTACACATAAGAAGTTAGAATTTTCCATTTCCTCATCATCTCCACTAAAATTTTAAATACACAAGCCAATTGTGTTTAAAACACAAAGTTTGCTATGCATCAAAGGCCCCAGTACTATCAGTACCCATATTAAACCCTCACTAAACCCTCACTAGTAATCCAAATTCTCTATCTCAAAAACATCACTGTAAAATCTTTAAGTTAGAATCCAATGTATTTTAGTTTATTTACTAACCTCCTAACGCAGAGGGGCCATTCTACCCTGTCCTCACAGGGTCACTATAGTCAGAATTGACTCAATGGCAGGGAGTTTGCTTAACACCGATCTTTAGATATTAAGATTGGGTGAGCCAAATAAAAACCTAAAAAGATGAATTGTTAAAACACTGCCACCCAGGCAATTCTGACTCATAGTGATCCTATACAGTGTTTCCAAATCTATACATCTTCATCAGAACAGTGTGTCTCAGAGAGGTTGGTGTTCCTTAGCAGCCCAACCAAGCTCTTTTTAAAACTATAATTATGTTGTCAATGTATTCATCCCATCTTTTAAAACAAAAAATAGTAAGTCTATAGGATGGGTATACATTCGGAAAGACAATGATTTCTAGTTTTCCCACAAAACAGCCTACCTGCCAGCAGATGATCCATTTAATGAATTTTGCAGATTTGGGATATTTGAGCTTAGGGAAGGATTAACGTTTCCTTGTTGAGAATTCCCATTGACTGGGCTCCCGTTACCTTTCAAAATCCCAGTACACTTCCAATTGTCCATATAATTAGCTGAAAGAAAATGGTTAAAGAACATTAATGTTAGGAATACCATGTCCTTTAATTATAATTTTAAAAATGAGAAAATGCCCACCACACCGAGGCAAAACACTAAGGGGGTGCAACAGAACAGCAAGGGAATGGAGCAGCAAGATCCCCAGGGAATGCTGAAGGTGGACTTTGGTGCCCCAACAGACTGGACTGGAAAATACTCTCAAAGGACAAAAAACAGTCCGAGAACTAACTACAAGCTTTTCTTTCTTGTTGTGTTTTGTTTGATTTTCTTGTCATTGGTTTGTTGTTGTTTGTTGTATGTTGTTGCTTGGTTTTGCTCTGTCTTGTTTTTGTGCATGCTATCATCTCCGCAGGTCTGTCTAAATAAGATAGGCTAGATGAACAATCTGGAGGAGAAAACGACGGGACCGATAGTTCTGGGGGTACATGGGAGAGGGGTAGGTTGGGTGAAAGGTAGTGGTGGTAACAAACAGGGACAAGAGAACAACAAATGATCCAAATCGGTGGTGAGGAGGGTGTAGGAGGCCTGGTAGGGCATGATCAAGGGTAATGTAACCAAGAGGAATTACTGAATCCCAAATGAAGATTGAGCATGATAGTGGGACAAGAGGAAAGTCAAAGGAAATAGAGAAAAGAACTAGGAGGCAAAGGGCATTTATAGAGGTCTAAATACAGGCATGTACATATGCAACTATATCTATATATGGGGATGGGGAAGTAGATCTATGTGCATATATTTATAGGTTTAGTATTAAGGTAGCAGAAGGACATTGGGCCTCCACTCAAGTACTCCGTCAATGCAAGAATACTTTCTTCTATTAAATTGGCATTCTATGATGCTCACCTTCCCGACACAACCGCTGAAGACAAAGCGGGTGAATAAGCAAATGTGGTGAAGAAAGCTGATGGTGCCCGGCTATTAAAAGATATAGCATCTGGGGCTTTAAAGGCTTGAAGGTAAACAAGCAGCCATCTAGCTCAGAAGCAACAAAGCCCACATGGAAGAAGCACACCAGCCTGTGTGATCATGAGGTGTCGAAGGGATCAGGTATCAGGCATCATCAGAACAAAAAATCATATCATTATGTGCTCACCTCCATGATGCGATTGCTGAAAACAAATGGGTGCATAAGCAAACGTGGCAAAGAAAGCTGATGGTGCCCGGCTATCAAAAGATATAGCATCTGGGGCTTTAAAGGCTTGAAGGTAAACAAGCAGCCATCTAGCTCAGAAGCAACAAAGCCCACATGGAGGAAGCACAGCAGCCTGTGAGATCACAAGGTGTCCAAGGGATCAGGGATCAGGCATCATCAGAACAGAAAATCATATCATTGTGAATGAGGGAGGGAGTGCAGAGTGCAGACCCAAAGCCCATTTGTAGGCCACTGGACATCCCCTCACAGAAGGCTCTCGGGTAGGAGACGAGCCAGTCAGGGTGTGATGTAGCAACGATGAAACATACAACTTTGCTCCAGTTGCTAAATGCTTCCTCCTCCCCCACTATCATGATCCCAATTCTACCTTACAAATCTGGGTACACCAGTGGATGTAAACTATTACAGATAGGAACTGGAAACACAAGGAATTCAGGGCAGAGAATCCCTTCAGGACCAGTGGTGTGAGTGGCCATACTGGGAGGATAGAGTAGGGGGGGGTTGGAAAGGGGGAACTGATTACAAGGATCTACATGTGACCTCCTCCCTGGGGAATGGACAACAGAGAAGTGGGTGAAGGGAGACGTCGGACAGGGTAAGATATGACAAAATATTAATTTATAAATTATCAAGGGTCCATGAGGTAAGGGGCAGTGGGGAGGGAGGGGAAAAAATGAGGAGCTCATGCCAGGGGCTTAGGTGGAGAGCAAATGTTTTGAGAATGATGAGGACAATGAGTGTACAAATGTGCTTTACACAATTGATGTATGTATGGATTGGGATAAGAGCTGTATGAGCCCCTAATAAAAGTAAAAATAATGAGAAAGTGTACCTCAAACAGTTTAATAGTTCTATATATCAAAAGACTTAATATTAAAAGGAAACAAACAACTGAGAGTGGGAGTAAAGTTAGGGGTGATATATGGCCAATAAATGTCTAATATATCTAAGTTTTATAGCCTATTTCTACAATTTAATAAACAGGAAGAACAACCCAATCCAAATATGGGCAAAGGACTGGAACTGCTATTTCATGCAGGAAGACATTCAAGTAGTCAACAAGAACATGCAAAGATGTTCCAAGTTCCTAGTCATGTTGTTTTATTGTGAGGTGCCACCAAGCTGGTCGACTCATGGTGACACTAGGCACGAGAGAATACAATATGGTCCAGTCCTGTACCATCCTCCTAGTCGTTTCGTTTGAATTCACTGTGCAGCTACTGTGTCGATCATCTCAACGAGGGCTTTCCTTTTCCATGGAGCTAACCAGGCATGATGTTCTTTCCAGAATTAGTCTTCCAGAGAACATGTCCGAAGTACAGGAGAAGTTTCACCACCCTCACTTCTAAGAAGCATATGGATACACTTATTTTAAAGACATTCAGTTGTTCTCCTGGCAGTCCATGGTACTTTCAATATTCTTTGCCAACACCACAATTCAAACACACATCATAAACGAATACCATCTTAATCCTATAAAAATGGCAATGTGCAGCAGGGGGTGAGGGAACTAGAAGTTGTTGACAGTGTAGAGAAAGAGGAAATAGGGCCCTTCATTAAATGCTGGCGGGAATGTAAAATAGTAGTCACCATGAAAATAGTTAGCAGTTCTTGAAAAAGTTGAACATATAATTACCACATATGACCCAACTTATTCCAAACTTAGGTGTGGATTGTTTTTGTCAAATCTTCACTGACTAAAAAAAATTAAAAAAATAAAAAATCTTCACTGACTAATAATAGTGATCCTCTGTCCCACAGAACAGATCTATAAGGCTAAGTCAAGAAGTATTGGTTTAAAATCATAGATACTTTAAATAAAAATATTAAACAGTAATCACTGCTTATCAATGTATTATCCAGCTAGGTGTATACACTTCTGTGGTGGTTTTCCATCCCTCTAGAACTTCCCCATTCAATTCCGCAGGCAGATTTACATGGCATGTTGCAGGTTATCAACACACCCCTAACTCACACATTACTTGATTTTAAACAAGAGTAGTATGCCCTTGTCTGTCACACCCGCCTCTTAAGCAATATGCAAGTTCTGCATAAGCACAGCGAAGTGTTCTGGAATTCCTATTCTTTTCAAGGGTTATCCATATTTGTTATGATCCACAGTCGAATGCTTTAACATAGTAAATGAAACAAAAGTAAACATCTTTCTGGTATCCTCAGTCAAGATCCAACAGACATCCGCAGTGATATCCTTTGTTCCACGTCCCCTTCTGAACCCAGCCTGAACTTCTGGCAGTTCTCTATCAATGTAATGTTACAACCATTGTTGAATGATCTTCAGGAAAGTTGTTTTTAACATCATTTTATTGGGGGCTCATACAACAATCCATATCACCATCAATCTTCAGCAAAATTTTACTTGCATGTAATATCTTTGACATTGTTCTATAATTTGACTGTTTTATTGAGTCACCTTTCTTTGGAATGGACACAGATATGAATCTCTTTTGGCCAAGTAACTGTCTCCCAAATTGCTTGACATAGAAAAATCAATCAATATTTTGCCGATAGAGATTTTCAATATTGCAAGTTAAGGCTTACATTTTTCTGGAGTTCTTTTAGTTTCAGACAAGATGAGCTTATTCTTCTCTTTGAGTTTTCTAATTCCTTGTATTTTATTTTGTCTTCCCTTTAAATTTTCTGTTAAGTTCTTTGAATTCATAATTTCCCCCATGTGCGTTAGCTGCTCTGTGATTAAGAAGGAGTTTCAGAGACACATCTGACATCCAGTTTGATCTTTTCTTTCTTTCCTCTCTTTTTGATGGCACTCCAAATCTTTCTCCTCAAGAGCTGCTGGTGGATTCATACCAGTTAACTCGCATATAATTCTGAATCTTAATTACGTGACCCCACCATGACTGTAATAGATTGACTAAGGTCAAAAGGATCCATTAAAAAGTACAGAACCAAGATGCAGCAATCTCAATGTCAAGTGGCCACACAATTCTCACTTAGCTTTGCATTCTTAAGAAACTCTTAGGATTGAAGATTTCAATATTTTGAACTATTGGGGGTGGAGGGAAAAAGACACTAAATTTTTTATTCATTAAAATAGAGATAATTTTGTCCTATCCTGATTCTGTAGAACAAATAAACAGCTATACCTACAACTAATGGTATCTCTAATGTACATTCTATTTAAAGGTTGCTTTGTTTCACATAGAAACTTAAAATAACAATTCAAGAAGTCATTACTACTATTAAATAGGTAAAATGAGGATTGAAATGAATAAACTGTTTTATTCTAACATGGAAATATAATTACTTCTTCACTGAAATCTTACCTTTCCACAATCTTACACAGCCATCATCCCCTGAAGATGCCAGTACAGTTCCTGTTATATTCCAACTCACTCGCCAGACTTGAGAATTATGATTATCAAACTGAGCCACTATGTGAATCTCAAATTTTGTAGGTCCACCAGAGGAAGTAAGTTCTTTCCTGTTAATTAATGTTACACAGATTATTCACAATGCTAACTTAAGTTTTCTCAAAACTGACTGCTACTTACAAGCTCCAAATCAGTTAGTATTGAACTAAATAAAACACAATTAAGAAAATGTAAAGCGGGCATTTATAGAGGTCTAAACACAGGCATGTACATATGTAAGTATATTTATATATGACAATGGGGAAATAGATCTACGTAAATATATTTATAGGTTTAGTATTAAGGTAGCAGATGGACATTGGGCCTTTACGCAAGTATTCCCTCAATGCAAGAACACTTTGTTCTATTAACCTGGAATTCCATGATGCTCACCTTCCCAACATGATCGCTGAAGACAAAAGCGGGTACATAAATAAGCAAATGTGGTGAAGAAAGCTGATGGTGCCCGGTTATAAAAGATATAGCGTCTGGGGTCTTAAAGGCTTGAAGATAAACAAGTGGCCATCTGCTGAGAAGCAACAAAGCCCACATGGAAGAAGCACACCAGCCTGTGTGATCACGAGGTATCAAAGGGATCAGTTATCAGGAATGAAAGAACAAAAAATCATATCATTGGGAATGAGGGGGACTGCGGAGTGGAGGCCCAAAGCCCATCTGTAGCCAACTGGGCATCCCCTTACAGAAGGGACTCGGAGAAGACATGAGCCAGTCAGGGTGTAGCACAGCAACAATGAAACATACAACTTTCCTCTAGTTCTTTAATACTTCCCACCCCGCCACCCTATCATGATCCCAATTCTATCTTACAAATTCGCTTGACCAGCGGATGTACACTGGTACAGATAAGAGCTGGAAACAGGGAATCCAGGGCAGATAAACCCCTCAGGACCAATAATGAGACTAGTGATACCAGGAGGGGAAGGGGAAGGTGAGGGGAGAAAGGGGAAGCCGATCACAATGACCTACATTCAATCCCCTCCCTGGGGGACAGACAACAGAACAGTGAGTGGTGAATGGAGACATTGAACAGCCTCAGACACGAAAAAATAATAATTTATAAATTATCAAGGGTTCGTGAACGAGAGACGGTGGGAGAGGGAGGGGAAAAAATGAGGAGCTGATACCAAGGGCTCAAGTAGAAAGAAAATGTTTTGAGAATGATGATGGCAATAAATGTAGAAATGTTCTTTACACAATGGTTGGATGTATGGATTGTGATAAGTGTTGTACAAGCACCCAATAAAATGATTTATTAAAAAGAAATCCATATTACAGTTTCCTTTGATCTCTTATCTACAAGTAAAAGTAAAAAATGTCAAGTGTTTTCACACTAGTAATTGTTTTTAAAACTTACCTCACAGGTTTTAATGTAAAAATCCTTACATCTTTGGTTGCTACAGCTAGAATATGGAACGATCTTCCTAAATTTGGTGCAAATGCAATATCATGTACCAGATCGGTGACTGTCATAAGAGTTTCTGCTTTTGCATATTTTCTAATGAAAAAAACAAAAAAAATTACCATTAAAATTGCAGTGACAAAAGAACCCTACATTTCCATGTACCTCAATTTTTTCCCCCGACACTACTCATACTTTTTATTTGAATATGGGTCCTAAGAAGCTGTCTAAATTCTAACTTCAAAAACCATTAATGACGCCTTACTTGTAGACATAATTGAGAACTTCAAAGGGAGACCCCTTTGACTCTAAATCCAGTGACCTTATAAAAGATTTTAAAAAAACACATAGAAACACTGCCATCAAAGTTGAATTCAACTCATAGAAACCTCATAGAACTGAGTAGAACTGTTCCTTTGGGTTTCTGAAACTGTAAATCTTGACAGAAACAGAAAGCCTATCTTTTTCCTACAGAGTGACTGGTACATTTGAATTGCTGATCTTGTGATCAGTAACCCAACCCACCACAAAGGCTCACACCACCACAAAAGCTCCTTTTAAAAGATTTAAGAGAAACACAAACATTAAAAAAGGCATGTAAAGATGGAAACAGCAAAGCGATCAGGTATTAGGCAACAAAGAACAAAAAAAATCACATCATTGTGAATGAGGGAGTGTGGAGTGGGAACCCAAAGCCCATCTGTAGGTAACTGGACATCCTCTTTCAGAAGGGTCACAGGGAGGAGACGAGCCAGTCAGGGTGCAGTGCAGCAATGATGAAACATACAACTTTCCTCTAGTTCTTTAATGCTTCCTCCCCCCCACTATCATGATCCCAATTCTACCTTACAAATCAGGCTAGACCAGAGGATGTATACTGGTACAGATAGGAACTGGAAACACAGGGAATCCACAGGACAGATGATCCCTTCAGGACCAGTGGTGAAAATGGCGATACCGGGAGGGTATAGAGAAGGTGGAGTAGAAAGGGAGAACCGATCACAAGGATCTACATATAACCTCCTCCCTGGGGGATGGACAACAGAAAAGTGGGTGAAGGGCGATGTCAGACAGTGTAAGATATGACAAAAATAGTATTAATTTTAAAATTATCAAAAATTCCTGAGAGGGGGGGTGCAAGGAGGGAGGAGGAAAATGAGCTGATACCAAGGGCTCGAGCAGAAAAAATAATGTTTTGAGAATGATGATGGCAACAAATGTACAAATGTGCTTGACACAATGGATGTACGTATGGATTGTGATATGAGTTGTACGAGCCCCCAATAAAATGATTTTTTAAAGAGATGGAAACAGAATGAAGTGATGTAGTCACTTCAAAGGAACACTTGTGTTGATTAGAAAACTGAGGATGCCAAGAAGAACTCTCCACTAAAGCCATCTGGGGGTATGTGGTCTGCAGAAACCTTCACTTCAGACTTCAGGCCTAAAAGATTTAAATTATTTCACTTGTTTAAATGACCCAATTTGTGGTACTTTGCCATGGCAGACATTAGTATCTTTTAAAGAAAAAGATCATTAAAATTCCTAGGTATTTGATTGTAAACAAAAATAAAGCTGGTTAAGAGTAGAAATTTATTCGTGAGAAATTACTGAAACCTAATGCAGTTCGAACATGATAGTGGGATGGGAGGAAAATAAAAAGAAATAGAGGAAAGAACTAGGAGCAAAAAACATTTAGAGGTATAAATATAGGCATATATATTAATATATAATAGGGATATAAGTCCATGTACATATATTTAAATGTTAAGTATAAAAGTAGCAGACGGGCATTGGATTTCTAGTCAAGTATTCCCTCAACGCAAGAACACTTTGTTCTAGTAACCGGGCATTCTGTGATGCTCACCTTCCCAATACTATTGCTGAAGAAAAAAAAAAAGGGTGCATATGCAAATGTGGGGAAGAAAACTGATGATGCCTGCTTATTAAAAGGTATCGCCATCTGGGGTCTTAAAGGCTTGAGGCTAAACAAGAGACCATCTAGCAGAGAAGCAACAAAGTCCACATGGAAGAAGCACACCAATTTGTGTGATCATGAATTGTGTCAACAGGATCAGGTATCAGAAGACCCAAAACAAATAACTATACTGATGCAAATGAGTGGAGACCCAAAGCCCATCTGTAGACAATTGGAAACCTCCTCACAGAAGGGTCACAAGGAAGGAAGGAGTCAGCCAGGGCTCAGCATAGCACTGACGAAACACAACATTTCTCTAGTTCTTCAATGTCGCCCCCCACCCTCACTGCCCAGCTAACATGACCTCAGTTCAACCATACAAATCCAGCTAGACCGGAGCATGTACACATGGAATACATGACAGATGAAGCCCTCAGGAACAGTAATGGGAGTAGTGATAACAAGAGGGTACCGGGAGAGTGGGGGGAGAAAGGGGATAAATGGGAAAACAATTGCAATGATACATGTAAAACTGCCCCACCACCACCATCAGGTGCACATACAGAAATGTGGGTGAAGGTGAGACAGAGGATGGTTTAAGATACGAAAATAACAATAATTATAATTTATCAAGCGGTCACGAAAGTGGTGGAGGGAGAGAAAAAAGAGGAGTTGATATCAAGGGCTTAAGTAGAAAGAAAATGTTTTGAAACTGATGATGGCAACATATGTACAAATGTGTGTGATACAATTGATGTATGGACTGTTACAAGAGCTGTTTAAAAGCCCCCAATAAAATGATTTTTTTAAGTAGTAATTTATTCTTAAAGTGACTACAAACGGGAAAGTACATTTAATATTAAACTACTATTTATCTATAATTGACAGAAAAGCAGTGAAGGAGATGACAGTCACAGTTTTCTCAATCTTGGGTCAAATATAACATGGAGACTGCTCTCAGCCTTCTCTGGCGGGGACTCACTCCATCAATTGCTGAGGCCAGTGCAAAATAAAAATGCAGGACCCCTGGTTCAAAGATGACAAAGGTTTGTGAGATGGTGGCGAGGATCAGTTGCTGATGAGTAGACTTGACTCCTGGAGAGCCCACGTGTCTTAGAGCAGAACTGTGCTCCAAGGGATTTTCAATGGCTGGTTTTCCTTATTTACATTAGCAGGCCTTTCTTCCAAGATACTTGCAGGACTTGGACCTCCAAGCTTTCTAAGAGACGTGTGGAGTACTCGGTTAAACCAGCCCCATTCACTCTGGGTCCTCCCCCACTAAGAATGCTAAACAGCCTGGCAGCCAGACTCAGCCTGCCCTTACAAGCCCAACACAGGGTCACAGGCCACCTGTGGAACTTGAGCTCTTGAAAGAGATAGCCTAAATCAAGATGTGTCATATACCGCATATACTTGAGTATAAGCTGACCCAAATATCAGTCAAAGCACCTAATTTTACCACGAAATCTGCATTAAAAATGTGCTGAAAAACTTGGCTTGAGTATATAAGGTATATGAAATAAAAGTTTGAAGATTTAGAGGGGTCTCGGGGAGGAGACGAACCAGTCAGGGTGCGATGTAGCAATGATGAAAAAATACAACTTTTCCTCTAGTTCCTAAATGTTTCCTCCCTGTTCCCACTATCATGATACGAATTCTACCTTGCAAGTCTGGCTAGACCAGAGGATGTACACTGGTATTGATAGGAACTGGAAATCCAGGGAATCCAGGGCGGATGATCCCTTCAGGACCAGTGGTATAAGTGGCGATACTGGGGGGTAGAGGGAGAGTGGGTTGGAAAGAGGGAACCGATTACAAGGAACTATATGTGACCTCCTCCCTGGGGGACGGACAACAGAAAAGTGGGTGAAGGGAGACATTGGACAGGGCAAGATAGGACAAAATAATAATTTATAAATTATCAAAGGCTCATGAGTGAGGGGGGAGCGGGGAGGGAGGGGAAAATGAGAACCTAATGCCAGGGGCTTAAGTGGAGAGGAAATGTTTTGAGAATGATGCGGGCAATCAAAGTACAAATGCACTTTACACAATTGATGTATGTATGGATTGTGTTAAGAGTTGTATGAGCCCCTAATAAAATTAGAAAAAAAAAAAAAGTTTGAAGATTTAGTACAAAAAAAGGTAAAACATTGCATTAATATTTCCTTGCATTAACTAAATAAAATCTATTAAATTACTTAACTTTAATCTATTTTATTTAACATATAAAATGCATGGAACCATGTGTTAGAGTGGGGCTTAAAGAACATCCTTATTCTGGAGCAGAACTGTGGAGCAGAAAGGTGGAAACCTTTCTACCACCCTGCTAAATTATTAGTATCCCCAACATTGTATACTAGCCTTTCTTCAGTTCCACCATTCTTTCTGAAATCTCTACAAAGTTGGTGTGTCTCCAGTATTTTCCTCTTACCTTTCTTCTCACTAGAATCACTCTGAGCAAGCATCTCATGTTTGGCCCGCAGACTACAACATGGGCACCGCTTGGGGTCAGTTGAGAAATACAAAATCAATCACCACCCAGACCCATAGAATAGTAATATGCTGCATTTAATCTCCCCAGCATGAACATATCCCCATGGTTTTATTAATTCCTAAATCTATCCTTCTCACAAAGGTCATAGGCAGTACCCAACCAAAACCAAACCAACTGCAGTCAAATGAATTCTAAATCATAGCAACGTGCCCCATGGTTTCTTGCTGTACACCTTCACAGCAGCAGATCGCCTTGTCTTCTTCACATCTTGTGGTGAACAGTCTACTGCTTATCCTAATGTGCCACCGAGGCTTCTTATAGATAAGGTAGGGGTAGTAATTAAGAGCATAAATTCTACAGCGAGAAGGCCTACATCTCCTGGACAAAGCAGTCACTGGCTATATGACATTTAGCAGAGTCTCTGTCACATAGCAATGGACAGACTTTTAAGAGACCCATCACCCTCATCTCCTGATGATCACTCCCAAGTGTAGGGGACCTGTCTTGCTTTTAAGAACAGACTATGGCAGAGTGAAGGATGCCATTTCTGTGATGACAATATATGAGATTTTAATGCCTTCTTGCAAGAGCAGTTCTCCTGGCTTTGCAGGAGCTAGCTGTCATGCTATGAGCTAGTTGCAGACATGATGTGTGACACAGAACTAAGGCAAGGACGGCCTTTGGCTGACAGTAAGAAATGAGCCCCTAGTCTGGCAGCCTGAAAAGCACATAATGCTGCTAACAACCATATGAGCTTGAAAGCTGAGCCTTCTCAACTCAGGCCCAGACTCCCGAGACAATGTTTGTCTTAAGCCAAGTTTGTGATCATATTGTTACACAGCAATAAGTAATTAGTCTTAGCTATTATAAGAAACGATTTCCCTAAACCTAAGTAGCCCAAAAGTATACTTCTCCCTCTGCCTGTACTTCTGATAGTAGTCCATCTCCGTGAACAGAACTATCATCTGCTAAAGCAGACACCGCACTGACCCCAGATTAGCCCTCCTCTCCCTTTCTGTCCCTACCCCTCACACGCACCTGGAGACCCAGGCTAGTTTCTTCCTCCCCACCACTGCTGTGTAGGTCCTCAAGTTCTACGACATTAAAGCTACTGTAATCATCTCTTAATTTCCTTACTCACAGTTCTACTCCCAATAATCTCCTTTTTCACAAGTAGCCAAGGTCTCCTGATGAAAAAGTAAAGACAACCATGTAACTACTCAACAGAGACGTCATATGTTCCCAGAGGAGGCACAGTAAAGATCAAAGTCTGTTTTGCCTTCTGGCATGCCTCCTTTCTGCCCTCCACTCCCACCAGAAAGCATCACCTTACAATACTACACATCAGATCTGGGTTTGTTTCTCACTCTGCCTATATAACACCTATGCCTTTCAAAGACTATAAAGCTCAGTATTTTAATTCTAGCAACATTTCTCCTGACCCAATCAGCCAGAGTGACCATCCCACTCTTTTATGCGTTATTGGACCCAGCACATGTTCCTGGCAGTGTCTGTACCAGTTCATCACACAGATCTGCTCCCTAACAACTGTGAGCTCGTAAAGCAGTCTGGTTGGCACAGTGGTTAAGTCCTTGGCTGCTGACTGAAAGGTAAGCTATTGAAACGGCCGTTCTAGTCTGGCCTATAAAGTCACTAGGAGTCAGAAATGACTCGATGGCTGTGAGTTTTGGAGTTTGGTATCTCAACACACACACAAGTAAACTTGTCTTTACATGTTACCACACTTTAATCTTTCGTTTTCCAGAGTTCATCATCCCAAGAAATAATACGCCATCCTATTAAGCCAAAGCCTTCGAACTCATCCTTGACTCCTTTTTCTCCCTCATCTCCCACATCAAATGAACTCGCCAGATCCTACTGATACCATTTCTTGAGTCTCAAATTTCTCCTCTTCTATCTCCACTGCCATTAATCTATTTTGAAACCAGTATTAATTTCCTATCAGCTTCAAACCCTGAAAACACAAATGTCCCCCTCCAATATATATACAGTTATCATTAAGGATGAGCTGAAGCGTCGTCGTCTAATTTTGTTATTTCCAATAGTTCCACATTATCCTAGGATACTCTTTGAAAAAGCCTTCAACACTCAGTCTCATAGATATGTGGCTTGCATTTTCTCTCACTATATTATGCTTTGGCTATTATTTTTCAAATACAGTAAATACACATTGGCTCCCTTTTGTCCACAGATTTTACCACATGAAGTTTTCTTCATTTAGCTAACAGATCTTCTACAGATCTTCTGGGTGAACCTTCCTAGACTCCTAAACTACACGAACTCCCTCAATAGTAAACTCTCAACATTCTAATTCTCTTGATTCATAAATTCATCCGCCTTTATTATATTTTTCCTTCTACAAGACAGTATTTACAAGGAAGCTTCAAAAAGCTTGTGTAAAACTGGAATCAAAAGACAATGGATGGGGACGGCCACAATCCCAACTATGTGGACCCACCCAAGAATGCACTGCAGAGGACAGCACTGAAGCTATAGCTTGGGGAGAGGGGCACGTCTGATTAGAACACACAGGAGAAACGAAGAGGGGTGGAGAGAGAGGGGAACACATCCTGGCCCACCAAGACCCGAGGATGATATTCCTGCTCAGAGCAGCCAATGCACAGAGAGGACCATTGAGTTGGCCCCACCACAAGACATGATGTATCTCACTGAACCATAGTGCTATGGGGGACAACACTGAAGACAGAGTGTGGGAATTGTGCCTGATCTGACCCCATCACAATTGGATGAATCACGAAAGGCATGCAACAGAGCAGCAAGGGGAGCAAAGAGGTGAAATCTCTGGGAAATGCCAAAAATAGACTTTGGGGATAGAGTGTGGCACCCCATCAGACTCAACTGGAAAACACTCCAAAGAGTCAAAAAACAGACCTAGAGCTATTTATAGGTTTTCCCTTTCTTGTCATTAGCTTTCTTTTCATTGCTGTTTTTGCTGTTAGTTGTTATTTTGTTGATTTTGTCTTCCTTTATTGTTTTGTTTGGCTTTGCCTGGTTTTTGCATTTATTAATGTCTCTGCATGTGTATCTAGATAAGATAGGTGGGATAAACAATTCGGAGAGAAAACAACCGGACGGACGGTTCCAGAGGGACATGGGAGAAGGGGAGGTGGGAGAAAGGAAGGGAGGGGGGTGTCAACCAACCCAGGGACAAGGGAACAACAAGTGAACTAAAATCAATGGAGAGAAGGGCTTGGATGCCTAGTGGGGTTTAATCAAGGGTAATGTAAACGAGAGGAATTACTATACCCTAATGATAGTGGGTCAAGAGGAAAGTAAAAGGAAATAGAGGAAAGAACTAGGATGCAAAGGGCATTTATAGAGTCTAAATACAGGCATGTACATATGCAAATACATTTATATATAACGATAGGGAAATAGATCTATATACTTATATCTACATGTTAAGAATTAAGGTAGCAGGTGGACATTGGGCCTCGACTCAAGTACTCCCTCAATACAACAACACTTTGTTTTAATAATCCCACATTTTGTGATGCTCACCTACCCAAGATGGCTGCTGATGACAAAGCGGTGCATAAGCAAATGTGGTGAAGAAAGCTGATGATGCCCAGCTATCAAAAGATACAGCATCTGGGGTCTTAAAGGTTTGAAGATAAATAAGTGGCCATCTAGCTGAGAAGCAACAAAGCCGACATGGAAGAAGCACACCAGCCTGTGTGATCCTGACGTGTCGATGGGATCAAGTACCAAGCATCTAAGACCCAGAACAAAATCATACCAATGTGAAAGGGGGGTGAGGGTGGAGGAGGGGAGGGGGAGCCTCACGGAGTGGAAACCAAAAGCCCATCTATAGACAACTAGAAATCCCCTTACAGAGGGGTCACAAGGAAGAGACAAGTCAGTCAGGGTGCAGTATTGCACCGATGAAACATACAACTTTCCTCTAGTTCTTTAATGCTTCCTCTCCCCCACTACCATGACCTCAATTCTACCTTACAAATCAGACTAGTCCGACCAGAACATGTATACTGGTACAGATAAGAGTCCGCAATACAGGGAAGCCAATATAGATAAACCCCTCAGGACCAACAATAAGAATAGAGATGCCAGGAGGAGAAAGGGAAAGTGGGGGGAGAAAGGGGAAACCGATCATAAGGATCGACATATAACCCCCTTCCCAGGGGGACGAACAACAGAAAAGTGGATGAAGGAAGGCAGAGGACAATGTAAGATATGAAAAGAATAATCTATATCTAGGGTTCATGAGGGAGGAGGGTGAGGAAAAAATGAGCTCATATCAAGGGCTCAAGAAGAAAGAAAATGCTTTGAAAATGATGATGGCAACATATGTACAAATGTGCTTGACACAATGGATGAATGTACGGATTGTGATTAGAGATGTAAGAGTCCCCAATAAAAGTATTTAATAAAAAAAATTTTTTTAAGATAATGGAATTTTTCCACAAACTTTTTCAAGCCCCTTCATATGTAAAATCAAATACTTTCTCTATAGTATATGCTTCATTATTATCAGAGGTTAGCACAAAATTTGGTGTATCGTAGGATATCAATAAATACATAATATCATTAGGTTAATGAAAACAGAAACAGCTCAGAAATTAAAAACCATTCTGAAAAAATAAAATAAAACCAGAGCAACACTTACCTGGTATTTTCATTATATTCAAAAATTTGAACCTTGGCCATTGCATTTGGACTACTGTCATCACTTCCCACAGCTATCATGGGGGAATGAGCACGAGAGCTACAAATAAAAAGTAGGAAATGCTGTACATAATGGAAATAAGAACACATTTAACTCATAATCTTTTAAATTAAGTCAAGTGGCTACATAACTGATAGATCCATATGGTGCCCCTGTGCCAGAAACCAGACTCAACACCTATGAGACATCCTACCTGGTAAGGGAGGGTCTGACAGGGTTTCTCGTAATAATCTGTATTGTTTTTATCACATTTTCCTATATAACAGGCCTAATTAGCAGCTCTTTTCTCAAAAAAAGGGAAAGGTCTCAAGCACTTAATAGCTACTTTTTAATGCCTTAAGCAGTTTATTTAATGCGGTTCATCTAGCCAAAACCTTAGAAATCCTTAATCCTAGAAGCCTACAAAACCTTTTCTTCCATGTGTATGGGTAGAAAGGTAGGGGAAAACACTGGTAGGATTCACCTGTGAGTAACTGCTAACAGGATACATTGTGTTTGCTATACTGCCTTGTATCAAAGGAGCTGAGAAACAGGAGAGGGGATATTTCACTACCAGCGAAGAGCCAGGAGTGGAGCCTGTTGTCCTCTGGACCTGAGATCCAAGTGCAGTGAACCTCCTGGATCCAGGAAACAGCTCTGACATCAGAGTAGCAGCAGCAGTACAGGAGCCAGAGCATGAAGCAGAGTGATGGACTTCCCAGACCATGGAGTGAGTAAAGCTAAGTGCTTTGGGGCAGAAGGCTTTCTTGTGTAGTGGGAAGTCTCTGGACACTTAATACAGGGAGCAGAGCTTGCTGACCCATTTAGCAACCCTATGGGTTGCAAGCATTTTCTCTCTCCTGAAAGATTTGGTCATTCCTATGGAGTAAAGGTAACTCCTATATATTGTGATATCAAGTTTACAACAACAACAAAATAATTTTATGTGCTTTTGTTTTTAAAAAACAAAGGAGGGAAAGTAAAAAATCAGATCCTCATCCTGGGCCCCATATGTCATTTCTTAATTAATTCATTTGGCCAACCTCATTTTGAAGAGGAAAAGGTCTAAGAATATGGTTCTCTTGATGTGAGTTATAAACTAAATGACTTTTCATTTCTATGCCCAATTACCTTTGTCTCCCTCAGTCAGATAAATCTCTCCACAAACATGGCACCCTTGCTTACTGTAATACTGACATTGTAATCTGGGAACCTCTTACAACTAAAACAAAAACTCACGTAAAAATGCATCAATATACTCGAGTATAAGCCGACCCACTGAGGCACCTAATTTTACCACAAAATCCATTAAAAATGTGCTGAAAAACTCGACTTATACTCAAGTGTATACGGTATATATATTTTTATGTTTTCATTCTTTACTACTAAACATTCAAACAATTTGATCAAATAATCTAATAGAATAAGGTAATTGCAAAATGTTACAATAAGTTATTTACAATATATAGTTGGCCATCCAAATATCTGTAAATTCCACAGTAGTTTCCATATCTCACAAGTATTCTTTTTTCAATGTTCTACAAATATAAACTTTTACTTTATAATGTTAAATAAATGAATAAGGACTAAAAGCAGATCTATAATAATATACTCTATAATGACTTAGACTATCATTCTCCCAGCCCCAAACTGCTATCAAGTCGATGGTGTCTCACAGCAACACTATAGGGCAGGGTAGAACTGACCCTTAAGGTACTAAGACTGAAGCTATTTACAGAAGTACAAAGCCTCCCACTCCACCCCATGTCCCTAGGAGCACCTGGTGGTTTTGAACTGCTGACCTTGCTGATCCACAGCCCAACGTGTAACCATCACACCACCAGGACTCGTATTAGATACCATTAGGGTTTTTAATATTTTTATCATTATATTGGGGGTTCTTACAACTTATTACGATCCATATACATCAACTGTATCAGGCATATTTGTACATATGTTGCCATCATTCTTTTCTAGACAATTACTTTCTAATGAGCCCTTGGTATCAGCTCCTCTCGCCCACCCCTCTCCCTGCTAAAGTTTTTTTAAAAAGAAAAACACTTAAAATCATATTGGAAAACCCAAGATAATCTAAATTAAGAATTACTTTATTTGTACATCCAGAAATGTTGTACACCAGATACTCACATTAAAAAGTTTCTTAAATACAATACATTACTGAAGAGTGCAAAAAACAATAATAGTCAACTGAACATAGTAGAGTGATTGATCACCAACATCTACTTCCCCTCCCTCAAGCTTTCAACAAAATGATGAAAAGATAAAGACATTGCAGTGCTAGAAAGCAAGAACGTGTTAGCTTACCTTGAAGGGTTCCAAGAAATACAACTACAGCTTAGTTTACATGAGATCTCATGCTGCAGGGACCACTGACTAAGATTCATAACATCTGGTGCCTCATATATTCTTACTATACCATCAGCGGAACAGGTTGCTAACATAAGACCCATATGCTTGGGAGCAAATTTCACATCAGTAACTGATGTTCTGCTATCCACTAGAGTTGTCCTCTTAACCTGAAAAATTAATTAACAATTTAAACTGTATTTTTAAAATATACATAAACAAGCAAGTAGGAAAAATATATAAGAAAAATTTAAATGGCAAATACTGTGGGGAATGATAACATTTACCAAGTGACTAATATGTACACCAGCCCCACCCTGACTTCATGGAATACAAATAAATGTCTCACCCAGTGACTCTGTCCTCGCAATTTATCATTTGATTCTCCTACAATTTCTTCCCATACAGCAGCTGTTCGATCGAAAGAACAGGAAGCCAAAACTTGTCCAAATTCAGGATGGGCCCATGTCACACGCCACACAGATCCGCTATGAGTCTAGAATTAAAGAGGATGAAAAAGAGGGCAGATATTCAACATCTAAATTTTTTAGCCTCTAGAAGATATTCTAGATTCATAATTGTGGCCCCTCTAGAGTTAAATCCAGCTGGATAAAGTTGACATTAAGAGATCTGCTTCAAGCATTTTGCTTGACCAAGCTTTTAAGCAGTTTCTACCAGTCCACCATTTTTTACTAGCAAAATTTGCTCTACAGGATATATCCACCAAACACAATTAATGGAATTATGTTCATCAAAATTATCTGCTTTCAAACTCTGAAAAGTATATATAGGAACCAAACTGCAGGTATGTTTGTAATAGACATCTGAGTAGGCAAGGGGCTATTCTAAGGAAAAGGGCACTGAGACACTGAGGAGAAACACAAATCCTTGCATTCTATTGAGAAAATAAAGCTCAGTATCTTTTTTTTTTTTTTTTCTTTTAAAAGAATCATTTTATTGGGGGCTCATACAACT